ACCATTGACCCATGTGGTCTACATCTTAACATGGAGACCATTGACCCATGTGGTCTACATCTTAACATGGAGACCATTGACCCAGGAGATCTACGTCTCAACATGGAGACCAATGAACCACGTGGTCTACGTCTCAACATGGAGACTAATGACACACGTGGTCTACATCTTAACATGGAGACCATTGACCCAGGAGTTCTACGTCTTAACATGGAGACCAATGAACCACGTGGTCTACGTCTCAACATGGAGACTAATGACACGTGGTCTACATCTTAACATGGAGACCACTGATCCACGTGGTCTACGTCTTAACATGGAGACTAATGACACGTGGTCTACATCTTAACATGGAGACCACTGATCCACGTGGTCTACGTCTTAACATGGAGACTAATGACACGTGGTCTACATCTTAACATGGAGACCACTGATCCACGTGGTCTACGTCTTAACATGGAGACTAATGACACGTGGTCTACATCTTAACATGGAGACCACTGATCCACGTGGTCTACGTCTTAACGGGGTCCTGGTTGTTTTGACCCCAGGGCAGCAGGACAGTTAAAGGTATTTAAGCAGCAGATTGCATCAAACCTTCAGTCTGTCACCAGGAGCCATGCTGAGCATCACGATAGTGAATTCATTCAGACTGAGATACTGAGAGGTGGTAGYTGAGAGTCATCCTCRGCCAGCATCTGAGAGCTGACAGGTCATGTTTGATGTTAGTTTTAAGCTTTARTTGAAGCAAGGACAGGTGTGAATGTTTGGTCTCTGTCCTGCAGCGTTTTATTCCTGTCATTATTTACGAGCATTAACGTCCTGAGCGCTGGTTTATAAGATGCAGAATAATGGAGCTGAACTTTGTTGATTATCAAACATTAGTTTTATAACTCGTGTTCTTCTGACCTCACTGGTTCTGTCCTTGATTTGTTCTGATAMGACCCGAAGTTAAAATGAACATTTAACAATGGCAGTCATATTTGTGCTGTGATGTTTTTATTTATGGCTTTAAGGCAATTTCCAAAAATGGATTTAGACAGTTAGGTGTTTAAAGTGGTGATCGTGTAACTACTGTATAAATGCTGAGTCAGCTACTTGCTGCTACTCYTTTCATCTTATTAGCATCAATTTTACTAACTGTAGTTGTTTTATTTAATAATTTCAGACTTAAAATAGTCAAAATTTTTAGCTACAGTTATGTTCATATTAACTTTCAATTTTTTTATTTTAGCTACAAGGAACATTTTTAGCTACTGAACTGCTCCTTTTAGCTTTAGCCACTATTTTGTAGTATGTTTTTACTACTCATTTTAGTTACTGTACTTCTTTTAGCATTTATTTTGTTTTAGCCACCGTTCTGCAGTCTCAAGCTAATATTTTATTCCTCAGCATTTGACTGCTGTTCTGCTGCCTGTAGCTTTTAGCTTGTGTTAATCTCATTAAGTGTTCAGGAGTAATTCACACKATATTTCTGCAGAAAATGAAATGAATTTGTCTTTTTGTGTTAAATCTGTTAGACCTGAGGCTGTGATTGATGAACATTAACACTTTCAGCAACGTCTCAGCCCCTGTCTGGACGGAGACATTCGTCTTCACTGACCGTGACACGTCCTAATCTTTAATAACTATTAATGATTAAAAAGCTGTTATGTTTAATCATTTACTTTAAATTGATTCAAATCKGTTCTTTTCTGTGAGTTAATACGTCTAATTCTTGGATATCCTTCACTGTTTGTTGAAGGCGAGAGTTCTTTTAAAAAAAGGTTTATTTTCCATAAAATATTTAAATGTGAACAAATAAAAAAGTGTTTAATGTTCAGAAAAGTGTCACTATGAGATGACCTCAGTTACTTTTAAACAAGGAAAACATTTTTTAAAATTATTTTATTTGACAGATAAAGTTTAATTCTAATTTATATGATAAGCTATTACCAGCAACAACAACAGCTGAAATAAAATTTGTAATTTACCTTATTGTTTCATTTATTTATGCAGAATCAGTTTCTAGAAGATGGATGCAGTGTTTCAGGACAGATGTAGTGTTTCAGGACAGATGTAGTGTTTCAGGACAGATACAGTGTTTCAGGACAGAT